GATAAACTTAGTAAGTGGGCAGATACAAACCTGATGACATTCAGTATTGATAAATGTAAGGTACTCCACCTCAGGAGAAAAAACCCGCAGCATGCTTATAGGCTCAGCAGTGCTACGCTTGATAGCACCACAGCTGAAAGAGACTTGGGGGTCCTGATTGACCACAAGATGAACATCAGGCACCAATAGAATGTCACAGCTGGCAAAGCAAACAATACTCTGGCTTGCATCCAAAGATGTTTCTCATATAAATCTCAGTATGTCATCCTCCCGCTGTACTCAGCCTTGGTGAGGCTGCAGCTGGAGGACTGCATCTAATTCTGGGCTCCGCAATTCAAGAAGGATGTTGAGAAGCTTGAGAGAGTCCAGAGGAGAGCCACGTGCATGATCAGAGGGCAAGAGAATAGGCCTTATGAAGAGAGGCTGAGAGCCATGGAACTCTTCAGCCTGGAAAAGCGCAGGCTCAGGGGGGACCTGGTGGCTGCTTATAAGTATGTAAGGGGTGTACATCAGGATCTGGGAGAACATCTGTTCACCAGAGCGCCCCAAGGGAAAACAAGGACCAACGGTCATAAACTCCTCCAAGACTGTTTTAGGCTGCACATAAGAAAAATGTCTTTATTGTCCGAGCCCCCAAGACCTGGAATAGACTCTCTCCAGAAGCAGTGCAGGCACCTACTCTGGACTCATTCAAGAAGCGTTTGGATGCGTATCTTGCTGGGATCCTTTGACCCCAGCTGACTTCCTGGACTTGATGATCCTCGAGGTCCCTTCCAGCCCTAATGTCTATGAAATCTATGAATCTATGAAATCTATGACATTTTTCAGTAAGGATGTGCATGTGTAGATGCACATCCTTACTAGGGCTGTGCAAAGCTTCAGTCCTTGATTCGATTCAGCGGAGATTCAGCCTGATTCAGTAGCTGAATCTCTGAATCCGAATTGAATCAGAGGACCCTTGAATCTTTCTGAATTGAATTGGAAACCTCTGAATCGATTAGGAGACATTTGGAAAGATTCAGCGATTCAGACATAGACGCAGCTTTAAATGTTTTTTGTACATACCTCTAGGTAGCAGGCGGCTCATGAGTGTTGTGATGCTGGGGTGTATGGAGTATCCCACAGAAGCACAGGGGGCTCCCCAGCGCACTCAGCAGCAGACCCGGAAGTGCACCAGAAGCCAGGGAGCGCTTTGCAGGGACCCCCACATTTCCCCGGCTCAGTGACTTGTGCCTCCTGGACCTGGGGGTAGCACCCAGGGTCCCCCCATGGCTGATCTCTGAGCCAGGGGTGGGCACAGGGGTGGAGGGGGCCCAGTGCACTCCCTGGTGAACTCATAAGTGGACCGGAAGTACTTCCAGCTGAGCACTTGGGGGGCCCACCCGCACTCCTGTGGGACGCTCCGTGTGCCCCAGCATTGCAGCATTCACAAGCCATGCTGGTACCTTGAGCTATGTAGCAAAAACTTTTAAAGCTCTGTCTATGTCCAAATTGCTGATTCTCCGAATCAGCATCAAATCTTCAGATTTAGATTTGGCCAAATCGAATCAGGGATGGTGATCCGAATCAACAAATCAAATCACTGTCCCTGATTCGGGCCTTATCTGAATTGAATAGGGCCCGCTTTGCGCACCCCTAATATTTACCGCACAGTAAACTATGCTCCTTCACAGTAAAGCATTTTGTGTAGATGTGCCTAGTAATTCCATGTGTAGACATGCCCAAGATCTAGGATGGCATCTTTAGGGCCGTGTTTTCTCAGCCTTGTTCTTCTAACCCTTTTCATTTCCACATTAAGTAATCTTAGAATTCCCCTCTCCCTCTCTCCCCTGCTACAATTTCACGAATATAATTCTACAACAATGTTTGTTTTGGTTTGCTGGGCAGGCAGCAATCGCTTTTATGAAAACATTGAAGATATGATTGGATACAAGCCATTGACATTAATTAAATGGTGTTGGATGTTCCTAACTCCTGGTATTTGTGCTGTAAGTATTAAAAATCTGATTACTGAATTTAAGAATACATTAGGTTTTCTGCAGCTTTTTTTGAGATGTTTGCTGCTAATGGACTGCGTTAGAGGAGAAGCAGTCCTCATGAATATATTGCATACATTTTAAGGAACCTTGCAATAGGGTTGATTTAAATTAATTAGTTTTATATGCCTTTACACACACATTTCTAGTATTTTCATTAATAGGAAAAAATACATCTAGATACCTGAAGTGTTCAATTTAGTGGCGACTTCCCTATGCTGCTTTGCTAAGAAATCTTGTGTCTGTCCCCTTCAAATTCTTCTAGGTCCTTATGGATAAGTTTCAAAGGTTTAAGGGGTAAGATAAACATATACATCATTAAGTATTTATCTGAACTATGTATTGCTTCTCCTACTAATTCTCTTAATTCTTCAGTTCTTCCATCCCCGTCTCTCCCTCTTACTTATCATTGGACAAACAAATGACCTTCAGAAGAGGCCTGATCTCCTACCTCTCTGAGTGAAGTTTTAGTAGTAGATAAGGCTTTACACTTGTATGGATGAAGAAGAAGCTGACCAACCAAAAGTACTGATACTTTGTCCCATGCTATAGAAACTGCAACCATGACCCAGTAAAGCACCAAATGTGCATGTTAGCACTTTTAACTTGGAGGCTAGGCACCAAACAGTCCACTAACTGCACCAGAGTATGCAAGAGGTTAAAATTACTTCATAGTCATGGGCCATGCCTCTTGCTGGTGCAATCCCCTGACTATTAAATGGACTGAAAGAGGCCACCTCAGCCACTAAGTCCAGTCCCCTCTCTTTACAGGCAGTCAGTAACCAGAGAAATCCCCCAAATCACCCCTACCAACCCTTATCCACAACGTACAATGAACAAAATTGAAAATACCAAAAATATACTATAAAATGCCATAGGCAAAAACAGGTATGTTGAAAGCATTGTCAATGCCCTGCTACTACGACGACAGGGAAGAATTTGGTTACTCAATTCCAGCATTCCTATACATCTAAATAAGTAAATATATACATATTTCCTTACTTGTGTGGCCAAGAATATCTTGGATTATTAAAACTGCAACAAATAACATACTTTATTTTGTTATATATATTGTATGTTTGTCTTTGCATTTCTCTCGTCAAGACAACACAACTTGGGTTCTCAGATCTGAAGTTTTGGGTTGCAAACACCACAGTGGAGCATTTCATTTATTTAAAAATAAAATTCAGCTTCCATTCTAGGCTTTAAGACAGCATTTGTTCA